AAGGCAGGTTTCTGGGTTTTCAAGCATATTTGAGAATACCAGAGGCTGTACGGGTTGGCTCCAGTGCATATCAGCTCAGGGCTAACATACATCCATTTAAAAAATAGAATTTGTTTCCCTCCTTCTTGTGGTGAAAGCCCCTGATATTTTGACAGGCTTCTCAACCCGGCACTCAGATGAACTGCTGCCGCCAGGATGTAAACTTCTACTAGCCTGTACTCTGAGGCCTCATCTTTAAGTTTTAGAATCTCAAGAGGCTAAATGGCAAGAAGAGGAGGGCCTTAACACATATTAGCCCTCTTATGAGTGAGAACATGCGGTGTCTGGGTTTCTGTTCTTGTGTTATTTTGCTGAGAATGACGGTTTCCAGTTTCCAGCTTTATCCATGTTCCTGCAAAGGACATAAACTCATCCCTTCTGATGGCTGTTTAGTATTCCATGGTGTGTATGTGCCACATTTTCTTTATCCAGTCTATCATTGATAGGCATTTGGGTTGGTTCCAAGTCTTTGCTATTGTGAACAGTGCCACAATAAACATATGTGCATGTGTCTTTATAGTAGAATGATTTGTTATCCTTTGGGTGTATACCCAGTAATGGGATTGCTGGGTCAACTGGTATTCCTGGTTCTAGATCCTTGAGGAATTGCCGTGCTGTCTTCTACAATGGTTGAACTAATGGACACAGGAATGGGAACATCACACATCGGGACCTGTTTCCTAATGTTAGGGGAGGGATAGCATTAGGAAAAATACCTAATGTAGATGACAAGTTGATGGGTGCAGCAAACCACCATAGCATGTGTATAACTATATAACAAACTTATATGTTATACACATGTATCTCAGAGCTTAAAGTATAATAATATATATATATATATTTTAAAATCTTATTAGCCATGGGCCAGTCATGTTGACCCACAGTAACTCCTACTCTAATTCTATAAACATCTCATACAATTTGCCCCAAATGATGCAAATTATATTTAATCAGCTTGCATCCTGCGAATAATCAGTGTGGTGAGATGGAGCATATGAAGTGCTAAGCAGTGTCTGACATACAGGAATTGTTCGATATATGGCAGCAATCATTATAAATATTTGTGGTAATATATTTTAGTAATAGCCATAAGGGAGCTTAATGAACATTTGTCTAAGTGTCAGCCAACCCTTATTGACCCATTATTTATTTTGAAAGATGAAGTTAAAACATCAGTCCAAAACAAGGCAAAATATAATTCAGTTAATATGATCTCTATTAAGATAATAGATATACCTTTCAAAGAAAAATATTAATAAAACATTAACATTTAAAAATTAAAACTATCATTAATTATAGCTTATAATATTCTTTTTTCATTATTTTACCCTTAGAATATCTACAGAAATTACTTAGACCCTGCTTTATCCTTATTGAACAGAACTGTTTCATGTATTTAGCATTTCTGGCAAGTAATTGAGTGCTAGTGGCTGATGTATAGCTAAATAAATGGACATAGTTACCCCTTCTCCATGAAAACAAGTTTAGATATCATTGGCATTCCAACTCATCAGTATTCCTCACCTTACAGAGGTAAAATAAGAGATAGAAAGCAGAGAATCCTGAGAAAATGCAAAAGTCTCTATTGGCTGCAAGTGCTAATCTAGGTAGTATATATGCATCAACATGGAATTTTTGTACTTTAAAGAAAACAAATTACTACAGTGATGACATAACCAATCAATTCTAGCTTGATCTTTATTTCCCTTTTAATTTTTTATATTCTCTAGTTGATACATGTTCATATCTACCCTGGAATGTGCCAATGATGAAAAAACAAAGTTAAAAGAAATATGAGATTCAATAAAGCACAATCATTTTTATGAATGTTCTTACAGTAAATGGCCTGCTTAGCTTGTCCAGGCCAGAAAGAATTTGGCTTCTGAATTCTATGCCACTCTCAAATATGTTAACTTAGTTCCAAATGAAGTGCATTATTTTTACAAAGTTCTACTTCATATTTAACATAGTGAAGATTGTTCATTCCAATACATTTGCACTGCAGAGAATGCATTTGTGTTACTCAGTGTGCTTAATGGTAATAATGCAATAAAGAAACACGAAGACTAAGAGAGATCAAATAAAAACCAAAGTCACAAATCCTGCAGGCAATGACATTAAGACTAGAATTTGAGTCTTAAGATTGTGTTATTTGTGTCCTTTTATGGTTAAACTGTAAGAGGGAAGTCTTTTTGAGCTAGCAAAAATAATATGTGTGGGGAGGAGATAGCCATAATATCCATTCATGCAACTAACTAGGTATATGTGAGTGGGTAGGCACACGAGGCCAACGGGCACTGAGAAACATGTCTGTCAGGTTCTTTCTGTTTTGTTAGCTATTGAGCCAACCTGACTGAAACAAAGACATATTTCACAAGAGTGAAAATTGGTTTCAGTCAATCCTTTTAGCATTTTCCAGGTGACTACATTTTTATAAATCGCCTGACAAAATCAAGCAGTTACATCGCTTCACAGACTTTGGCTGAAACATTAAAGGAACTGAATGATTTATGGAGGAGAAGATCAAACAGGTTGCGTCGTATCTAAATGCTTGTCCCATGAACCAAAAGCTGAATGTGAATTGGCAGATTAATAATTTTTCATTTTCTTCTGGGATTTCAAGGTCTGGAATGCCTTTTGTTGAAGGGACACATTTCACCGCTTTTCAAGGTGCATCTTAAAAAAATACCCCACTGTCCTGCAAATCTCCCAAGTCAGCTCTCATTTCCCTCTCTCACCTGCTGCAATATCTATGTTTTCATACCACAGCATTACATGGTTTTATTTTGTTTATATTTTTCTCTATTTGTTTCATGAGTGCCCGTGATACACATGAGTGCATATAATCCCCAACCAGATTATATAGTAAGGACTTCTTTTGTACTTCTCATACTGTAGGAAGATAATGCCCATTGGCCATTGCATGGTGAATTTTCAGTGTAAGAATTAGTTCAATACATGTTCTTCAGTTGTACTGACAATATGTAAAGAATATTTTTTAGTCCTTTTCCATCTTTTAGGAGGCAGCTTTCCTGTACTTCATTGAAATACAAACTACTTTGATTTACTTTCAGCTCTAAACTTTGTTCTCCCTGTTAATGAAATGCATTTCTATCATGCATGAGATACACACTCTTTATTAAGATTTAGAACCCTCCAAAACATCAGTGGTTGCTCAATGGAAATGCCATACCTAAGGTTTAATATCATGCCTATCATCATTTACATGTTTCCATTCTTCTTGCTCCTGAAGCATCGGGATTCCCATTTACGTACTTCTGTCTGAGCTTGGGTAAAAGGTGACTCCAAGTGTAACGTGAGCTGGAGAAGAATATTTTTTACGTTTTTCCCTGATCTCATCTTTTTTTATTCAGCATTCCCTCTAAAGAGAATTTTACTCACAGATTTAGAGAGGGACTCTGTACTCTTTTACTGTATCACTTTTGGAAACTAAAACCCACTGGGTTTTTTGAGAATTAGGAATCATTACACTGTGCAGAGTTTGGGCTTTTGACACATTTCCAGTCTTTCAATTGAGCACCCCTTTTATTGGATCACTGGAATAAAATCATGATTATTCAAAATGTCACAATATACAATTCTCATATTATAACAACATATGAAGATCTTTGCTTAAATATAAGTTCTCAAATCAGTTTCAGTTGAGCACTAATTAAGCAAAAATAAATTTACAAATGCATCTTGCCTCTTAAAATATTTCCTTGCCAGAGTTGTTCAAACTTATGCAGAAAAAGCATATTTAAATAAAGACAAAGGGCTATCACTTGCTCTTATTTTCATTATATTCAGGAGATGACCACTTTAATTTTAAGTACGAAGTCCTAACAATACTCATGATTTCCAACATGAATTACAGTACTTAAGACTTTGTCTTCTCATTACATCATGCTTATTCTTGCATTTTATATAAAAACTCTGGGGAATAACTTAACAGGAAATCTAAAATAAAGAAAAAAAAAACACTGGAATTCCTGAAATTGTTATAGATAAAGCCCTTTAAGGCTTAGGATTAAGTGTTTGAAAATATCAGGAGCATTTAAAATATGTTCATGCTTAGCTTTCTGTTCACTTGCTAACTACCTGTAACATGACAAGTCTGGGGTTGAATGGCATGAGAGCATTACTGTTTCATTTTTATAATCCAAGCTTAATTTTTAATACATCTTTCGATTTTATTTTAAGTTTTTTGGGGGGTTTGGAGGGAGGGCACTACTTTGTTTCTGAATAAATAACAAAAATCCTTAACAGCCAGTGACTATATGAATGTGATGTGAACGACATAAGCAAAGAAACTAGGGCAAAGTTTTTGTTTTAGAAAACCATATGCTCATATTCTACATGTTCTGAATTATCCTCATAGAAAACACAACATACAATATCTCAAAATGTTACTGCAACACTGCTCATTAGTTTGCAGTTTGGAAATACGGCACTTAAATCCTTTTCTCTCAACCGTAGTAAGACACTGATATAACACAGTTTGCAAGTCTTAGCTCTGCTCTGCAAACTTACTGCTATCATAGGTCTTCTGCATAAGTATTTTTAGTGGCCAGTTCCTAGTTCGATGCTTAAAAATCCTGCCGATCCCTGGGTTGGAACAAAGCTTTCGGAAGCAATTAACTGCTTTTGCCATCCCAGGTGCCAAACCCACACACAATGTCCTTTTATTTGTGGAAATACACACAGATCTATTCTGCATGTGCTCAGAGCTCAACACAAATATCACCCCTTTCCCACAGGCAGCAGGAAGGATGTGGTTTGAAGGACACAGTTGCTTCATCTGAATGTTCAGTTGTTCAAAAGATCTCTTGTTGCTACGCCGAGTCGCGGCTCTACTACTTAGGTTTAAGAAGATATAACCAGGCCATACCCGAAACCCCACTTTTATCTATTTAAAACAGGCATTCAAGTAGATCATGCAATTCTTCTTTGCCCCTTACCTTCAGTGGACACATGCTGAAAGTGGGTTCATAATCAAAAGGCATTCCCGTGAGCTGATGACCCAGTAATTCCTTACGTATACAGGTCAGCTGCGACAATACAGTACTAAAATCGCCAGATGAAATGGTCAGAATTACCCGGTGGCTTGATAAAATCAGCTTACTTTGAGTCTAATCCAAGGATAAATATACAGAAAGCTCCAAGCAGTGGAAACTGTAAACACTGTAGAACTGCCCCCTGAAACTGTAATACTGCCAGGAAAACAAACACTTGCTGAAGTATAGTGTGCTATCTTGGTTTTACCTGAATGCAAATGAGGACCAAATAACTATAAGCTACTGATTAAAGTAGAAAAGTGTAACATAAGTGCAGGGCACTAATTCTGCCACCATCACTACCAGCACTCCCCATAAACTCTAATAACACACTCGAAAAAAGCAAACCAGTAGATCTGATGATTCATTTCACAAATCCTGCAATCCTGGGGCTCACTCATCTCATCATTTCAGGACACTCAGACTCTAACTAGGAACACCTAATTCATAGCCCTGGATTTTGCTAAGTTTCCCTCTACCGTTGAGTCCTGTTTTGCTCTTCAGAGTGTTATTCTACAGAGGATCTCTCTCTTTTTGGAGTCTAGCATTTTGCTTCCTCCTGGAGCCCCAACCAAACACATAACCTCGAAGCTTCTGAGAAATATGTAAGTTTTTCAACTCTGGACGGTAAGCCTTTTTTTGTGACTTAATCTTATCTTGGAAAAAGATGTGTTGTTAGTTACCAGTTGCTTCTTTAGCCTTGCATACAGTGTCTATTCCTGTTTATGACTCCCTGCACAGTTACTAGCTCATGAGAATCTGTAATTTAAGAAGAGAGCTTTGGCAATAGGGTAGTTAAATTGCTCTTACTGGTTACTTCTGAATGATTTCAAGTTGATTCTTTCCTTGGGTTTTCTCCAGCCACTTCCCATTTCTACTAATCAGTTTCACTATGCATGGTCTATGACACTCCTTAGAAGTATGCAAGCAGGCTTCAAGTAAAAGAAGAATGGAAATTTGATGAAAATATTTTATTGGTAACACTCAGATAGAAATGCCACCTCTGAGAAAGTATACACAACTCCATGTACCTAGTGGATTATTACTCATGACCCAGAGTATTATATAAACATCTGCATTTCCTTCTTCAATTAGAAACAAATAGCTCTTGATGAAACGTCTGTGCCCTGGTCCTTCAGAAGTCTGTATCCGACTCTAAGATGCCAGGAAAATTTCACCTTGTGTCATGTTTCACGCTGAGGGGTTTGTATAGTGCTAGTGTAAACCTTGGTCTCTAAGACACATTCCACAGTGAATTTATTTCAGATTCCAAACTGAGTTTATTCCATTTCACTCACTTAAAATTCCAGTTGTGACTGGAAAATACACACTTCATTTACCTTCTGTGCAGTGTTCAATGAACCGCTTGTCATGTTTCACCCTAGTAGGTTGCGTTTCAATCCTGAGTGTGTCTATCAGCTGATTAAAGCTTTGCTATTATTTGTAAGGGATGTTATAACATTCACTGTCATCTTTCTTGGCAATTTCTGATACTGTAACATAAGGATTCTGGCAAAATAATATGGTAGTTGCTACTCTTTCCTTACACCTATACCATTTACTTGTCAGCATACAACATCATGTTTTCAAGGAAGTAGACAAATAGAAAACTCAAATTCCCTGTAGTGTTGTTTGTTATGCCACTCTGTATAAACTGACATGGCATAAAATGACATAGCTTGATAAACCGCTGGAGTAAAACATGTGTTGTTAGTTACCAATTGCTTCTTAGATTACTACCATTTAGCTAGAGTAGGACACGTCACTTGAGGACAGGGCCTTAAGGAATGTCAGTTCTAGAGGAGGAAGGATAGAATCGAAATGAGGGATCTGGTTCTTTGCTGTGTGTGGCTGAATTTCCTGGACACTGTTTAAGGCAGAAATGACAGGTAGCATAAAAGAATAAACCATACCTTAAGAGCACAAATGACATAAGCACCCCCTCCCGCCCCAATCCGAAATTTTTGCCACACTATATGACTTTACCACGTAGGTGATTGCTCAGACCTGAAGAAATGTTAACTCCAATCCCTAATCAATGATAACAACCAAAAACCACATTAGTCATTATTTACTAACATAACAACAATATAAATCGTGTGTGTGTGTGTGTGTGCATATGTGTGTGTGTGTGTTTCCTTTCTTGAGTTCTGTATCAGGATTTTATAATGCTTGAGAGAGTTGACTATTAAGAAACATGTTTAAATTTTATTCCAAAGAAATGGTCCCCACTCCTATCTCTGATACTGTTAAAGTCCAGCCTGGCTCTTGCTATCAAAACCATCTATTCTACGCTTTCCTGGTACCAGCATAATTAAGTCAAAAAAACTGGTTACTTTCAAGGTCAGTAACTATCCAAAGCTACTTCCTCAGCCTGGGTACAGTTTTAACATGCCCATAAGCCTTATTCAGGATCTCAATCTTTTGCAGTCGAGACATAAATCCAAGAATACTGTATGAGAAGCTCACAATTCAACTCAGATCTTACATTTGAACTTTTTCATTTTTGGAAGATGTACTCATGGTAAGTTTATTCATGCAAAAAATAAAACTGGAAGTGATTGAGAACACTTGTTTTTCTGGCATTGAGGACATTTCAATTATTGTCCCTTAGTATGTCATCTCATAACTATCTTCCAGAACATGTATTCTTCAGATATGCCATATGGATGGTTAAGATCAAAATAAACCATTAATAACAAATCTAAACCAAGCCAACCAAACACACATACAAATAAACCAAATGAATCCTCCTGTACATTCTCATTTTTTCAGAGAGCTACATCCCTGCTCCACTTGAGCTAAGTTGGGGCTTCATCCTTCAGCTACTGATTTTTTTTAAAGTTTAGGTTCTTCTTTCCTTTCCTTACTTCTCCCTTTTCCTCTTCCTCTTCTTTTTTACATCTTTACTATTTTAGGACCTACTGGTTAGCTTTCTTTATTATCAAATTAAAAATATTATTTATTCGCTCTCTTACAAAAAATAAAAAACAACTCTTTTGAGATTTATATTGTTTAGCTGTAAACATCATTTCTCCCTGTGAATGGCTGGAGTCCCAATGAAGCCTCCTACATTTAACAAAGGCTTTGGCACATGACTTAAAGTCTTAATATGGAACCCAAGATCCTGGATGATGTCCGTGCCCTTTGCAGTAATCATCCAGCACCTGCCTTATAGTCCCCTGCTATTCACTGCAGTAGTCTCTATTAACCTCCACTCTGCTTCAGCTAGTCACACTCATGCCCCCCCCAAACTCAGCCACCTCTAGACTTGTTCACCGTGTGAAGTTGTTCTCTAAACAGCACCATCCATCTTTTCGGCTCTCGCGACTTCTTATTCCCACTGCATCTGTTCCACAACCTCATTCAGATCTCAAACCTCTGAAAAGTAGCACTTTCCTCACTTGTAAAAGCTCCCCTTGGCTCTACTTCCTGCTCTGTTCAACCTAGACATCACAGCCCACCACTTCAAACATCCCCCTGTCAGTACCCACTTGTCACTTGGGTACTGTGACATCCCTCCACGTTTTCCTCCAAAATCTCAACCCAAGATCAAGCAATTCTTTTTTGTCTGTTTTCATATCCCTGGGTTGCTACATTCTGGGTAATTCCATGTGACTCTGCAAAATGGTACTGGTACAAAGTCCTGGTCTTCAGCATCACTGGGACTTCAACACTGTCCAAATTTCCTTCCACATCTCCTTTTCTTTCAAGCTTTAACTGTTTCTTTCAACCCAACGTTATGTACCAACTGCCACTTCCTCACTCATGGCCAAGCTCTCCTATCCTAACTGATAGGTAAAATAACCCACGAATTGAGAATCCATTCAGCTTCCTTTCTTCTCTTTGAATTGATTCCAATTCAACTCTTTGCCACCCAACCCATTAGAAGAGAGACCTTTTCTCTTATCCAACATGAATCATTCCACCTTTATTCAGGACCCTACCTTCTTCCTTCTTTATCTGTTTTATTGGCAATCCCACTTTTTACGAAACCTTCAACCTCCCGCATCCCATTGGTTTGTACCCGGTGGTGCACTGGAGCTTAAAGCTGATTCTAGGTATCTTCTCAGATCTGCATTCACTGAGGTATTCTGAATGCCTTCTGCATTCTGCCTTGATAGGTTTACTCCAGTCATGGTGGGTGTATTGATGCATGGTCATCTGTAACAGCTACAAATTAGAGCTTTTATTTCTCCCTTGGAGGCCTGGTTTTTCAGAACACCACTGCATCCAAGCCTTCTCAAGACAAAACAAACAAAATCACTGACAAAAATCCTTGCACATAGCCTATTTCCTCTTCTAGTTATAGTGCCCTCCGTCCTTTTATGTTCCAGCTACTTAAAATATGTAATGTGTACCCAACCATTTGCTCTTAACCAATCTCAATATGCCTTTACTTCTTAACAGTTCTTCATTGAAGTTGGTATTTCCAAGGTAATCAGTAACCTCATAGTTGATTAGCCTAATGGATACTTTCCAGTTTGCACTCACTTAATCTGTGGAATTTGGTCTTGTTAGCCACTCCCTTCATATAAGTCACTCTTGCCCTGACTTCAGGACATCAGCCCCCTAAATTCCCCCTTTACCTCTTTGGTATTTTGTTTTCAGGGTCCATTTCATTTGCCCATCTTTTAACAAGTTTTTCCATAGTACTTTTTCTCAGCTTAACCTACTGGCAAAATCTTCATCCCATGCAGAGCCATCTCTCTCTCACGTCTCTTTCGTGTGTTGTAGTTATCACTGGACAGCTGTCCACTTAGGTCGTTCAAGACATCAGGCACGTTGGACCCCAAACTCACCAAATTTTGTATCCTCACCTACTCTGGTTCTCCCGCCCCTCTGTCTATTCTTCACAACTGAGTTGAGCTAGTATTTTCTAAGCACAATTCTGATTGTATCGCCCCCGGCTTAAAGCACTTGAATTTTTTCCCTACCCCTTGAGCTACTTCCACAGCCTCATTTTCCATGAGGCTTTCCCTTCCTGCTGTGTTGTTTGAGCAAATTCTGTCCTTTCTGTCTCCTCTGCATCCTGTGCCTGTGATCCCTTCTACTGCAGGCCCTTGGTACAAGCTGTCTTCTGCCTCTGCTCATGCTTCCACACCCAAGTAACTCTGATTTATCTTTCAGGTCTCAGCTTCATTGGACCTTTCACAAAGAAACCTTTCCTGAGCATTCTTGACCAGCTCGAATCCCACTGTCAGGAGCTCACAGAGCCCCCTCCACGGCCACCTTCTCTTTGAACCATTATGAGTCTGGTGCAGCATCAGAAGAGAAGCTTTTCCTTTGCAAAATGACTAATACCTGTTTCTCTCTTTAGATGATGAGGTCCATGAGGGCAAAGGTTGTCCGTTCTTGGTCACCATTGCATACCCAGGAGCTCATGGCATGCTGGTGCTAGTTCTGTGAACATTTATTGAATTCGTGAATGAATATCCTGGAAATTTCCAGAAGTTCTTCAGATGAGAAAACTAATAGAAGGCTGGGTTTCCCACAGGCAAGCAAAAAGCAATTTTAAGTCCACGAACTTAGTAAGGCCTTAAGAGACACATCTAATTTTTTAAGCATTGCTGGTTAGGCATACACAGATGAGTTACCCAAATGATGTGAAAGAAATCTACTGTATTAACATCACGACTAGTTTAAAGGACAGGGCTTAAAACCTTGAAGAGATATATGCATTTCTCCTGGCTTATATTTTGCCCCTCCTCCATAAAACAATTTAATAGAACATCATTCTTTATACTTAAATAAGGTGACCACATAATTTATCAACCAGACTAAGGCATGCTTGTCAGCAAAGGAGAGTCATTGCAGTTGTGCGGCGGCAACGGAGGTAAATTGCAGAGGTCTCCAGCAAAGTCACCGCAGCTGTGGTTGACGTAACAGAATGAAGTTGGTAAACGCAAAATCCTCTGTCCATGGGGAATGGTGACAGGTGCTGTAGAATAACTAAGCCTAATATAGAGGAAGACTTCTCATAATGTGATGCTGGTATTTGTGCAAATTGTGGAAGAACAGATGCATCTTCAATAATGCAGTATACAGAATAAAATTATAATTGCATTAATCATTCTACATTTTATTTGGAACTCATTCTGTTTGTTATATTATTTTCTGCCCCACAACACTCCTATTTTAATTCATCTAAAAGCCTTTGTTGAGCACAATTGTGATGTGAAGGAAGAACAAGATATCAACCGTCCCCAGAAAATCGATGGTATCACTACAGGGCAAATAGGATCATCCAGAATTATAGATGAAGAAATTGACACCCAGAACAAAGAAATGACTTTTGGCTAAGGGTATGCAGATGAAAAACTGACTTCCGGGGCCGGGCGCGGTGGCTCACATCTGTAATCCCAGCACTTTGGGAGGCCAAGGCGGGTGGATCACGAGGTCAAGAGATCGAGACCATCCTGGTCAACATGGTGAAACCCCATCTCTACTAAAAATGCAAAAAATTAGCTGGGCATGGTGGTGCGTGCCTGTAATCCCAGCTACTCGGGAGGCTGAGGCAGGAGAATTGACTGAACCCAGGAGGCGGAGGTTGCGGTGAGCCGAGATCGCGCCATTGCACTCCGGCCTGAGTAACAAGAGCAAAACTCCGTCTCAAAAAAAAAGAACAACAACAACAAAAAAACTGACTTCCAGTTCAGAGTTCACTTTATTTGGCTCAGCTGCCTCCCGAAAATGGAGTTAATACACGTAATGTACTTTACGCACTTGTCTTCTGCACAGAAACACCCATGAAGTGCGTTTACACAATCTTTGCAGAAGCGGATTGTGCCGGGCTCAGCGGGCAGTGTTTGTGTTGCCTGTGTGGACTTTCTTTTTAGGCACTGGTTTCTGGCCCTGTGACAAAGATTTGCAGGGGATTTAAAAGGCCAAGCACATCTCTGACTAACTTGTCTCTGTATCATACCTATGTTTAAATACTGGGTAAGTTAAAAGGCCAAAAATATGTCTTTTTACTTTATGATCAAATTCCACTGCAGAGGAGTAATGAAATAGTCCAGATATGGCCAGGGGATAACCCTAGGGGTAGCAGACCATCCCTACTACAGAAAATGCAGGCATTTGTCCGTGATGAGACGTTTTACCTTTTCACTGAAGAGGAACACTCATTTAGTAGTGTTTTGGGGTTCACAAAATACAGTATTTACCAAAGAGATTTATCACTCTTGTGAGATTTCTAAGGGAAATAGCTTTTGAGATTGCAATTCAAGTATTCGAGGAAACATGGCATTCTGCTTATATTCTTTTAAATGCCGGCAACAGATACTTGTTAAAATGGAAAGTATTTTTCATAGTCAGAAATACCCCAACTTACAAAGACCTCTGTTTTTTCATTCCTTCCAACTACATAGTTCTATTAGTATAAGATCCTGACAATAAAACTAAAAGGTGATTTTTTTTTCATTTTCAATTTTCAAAAAAAGTTTTCACTTATTTAATAGAAATACTTCCTAAGTAAGAGACGACTTTCAGATAATCTTTTTTCTTCTTCTGACCTGTAGAGAATTCCGTAAAGGACAAAAGCAAAATCGAAATAGCTCACAAATCAACTATGTCATTCAAATCACAACCAAGGATAACTAAAATAGAAGACTCCTAAAGTTACCTGCAATCGATCACGGACCAAGACAACTGGGACAATTACAGTAAATGAAATTATTTTTTAAACATCTACAAAATTATTGATCCTATGCTCATGACAAACATAGATATGATGTATAATTGAGATTTTTTTTTAAACAAACTTTTCTTTTTGGGTAGTCTGAGAGCTTATTTTAAAGGGAGAGTTTTCCTTGTTGGGAATATTTCTGAATAGGTTTACCAGAGTCAAAGGCTGAAATCAAAAGGCACCTAAGCCTGGAATCTGCTCTGGGGAGGATCTAGCTACAGCAAGAAGGGAATAAGGCTGGGTGTGGAGTTCGAGAACAGCTTGGGCAATAGAGTGAGACTTCATCTCTACAATTTTATTTTGTTTGTCTTAAAGTTAGCAAAGCATGGTGATGTATGCCTGTAGTCCTAGCTACTCAGAAGGCTGAGGGGGAGAATCCCTTGAGCCCAGGAGTTTGAGGCTGCAGTGAGTTATGATTACACCTCCATTATTTAGTCTGGGCAACAGAGTGAGACTCTGTTGAGAGAGAGAGAGAGAGAGAGAGAGAGAGAGAGAGAGAGAGAGAGAGGGAGAGAGAGAGAGAGAGAGAAATGGGGATGTGAGGATGGAGAGAGACGGAGTGTGGCAGTGGACTAAAGATTTATTTAGTGGAAAAACAATCTATTGTTATGTTATCCTCTCCTCGGAACCCCTGAAGTCCTCTAGAACCTGATAAGCTTATTAATGCTTTATCAATAAAAATTTATCATTTCTTACTATTTAATATTAATATCATATATTATTATTTAATAATTAAGGATTTACTAAATCATTGGGCTGATGAATGGAATGGGAGTCTGGGTGGCTCAGCATTACTGAACCTCATGGAAAGGGGAGCTAATTCTGAATAATGTTAAAGGTTGTGGGATGCAAAATTGGATGGGAGTCAGGAACCTTTACCCTGTCTCAGAGGAGCAAGAAAATTCCAATTTGTCATTGGGGTTACAGACACAATTCATGCATGACCCCAAAACCTTATGGTGTGGTGGAGGAAACAGATGGGCAAACAACACACAAGAGATGTGTGTTATTCTAAGTAATCTCATCTGTGCCATGGAAGCTGTATCTGTACAACGTCAAGGGGCTCAGAAGAAGGCCTGAGTTTCCTACTTGGCAACTCAGGGAGGTATCATAGGGAGGTGGCATTTTTGCTGGCTCTTGCAGGATGAGTTAGGGTGATCAAATTGTTTAGAAAACCCAGAACAGTATTATTTCAATTTCCAAAACTGAAGCAAAAAAAAAAAAAAAAAAAAAGCTGGAAAAGAAGGAATGGGCTTTTCTTGGTGAAAGGTATGACATGAACGAAGTCAGTCTGGAATACGGCAGGTTGTTGGGGTGTGGTGAGAGGTACCACGGTACATGGCGGAAGAGTGGTCAACTAAAGCCAAATGTATTAAGGCCTTAAACGCTCTATGTATGTTCTTTATGCTTAGAAAGAAGTAACTTTGAAAGAACTGAGAGATAAGAAAAAATATTAAATTACTTTATCTAAACTTAGTATTCAATATAGTTACTAAATTCACTGGTTGATACCTGGTTAAATGACTAAATGATACTCAGTAAACCATTCTAATTAAGTGCTTAACTGAAGCTTGTATGTGAAGTGAACCACAGATCACCTCCTCATCTCTTCATATCTTCCTACTCGTACGTCACATACACAAACCCCTAGGATATCTGTCTCCACAGTTTAACAGTCGTAATGATTTGCAATGCTGCATGTCATCATTCAGGTTGTCAGCTGTTCTTGCATTACCTGTCTGCTTATAGACATGGTATTAATAAGATTATACAAAATGTCTGCCCAACTTTGATCAGAGAATTTTGCAATTTCCTGATCAACTGCCAGATTGGTCTTCCATAACATGGATGTAGTTATATATAAATTGCCTCATAGGTTAAAGAACCCTCAAAAACCTGTCCCGGACAATAGTTTGCCATTTGACATGAAGCATCATTGTATCATGAGATGTTAGTAAAGGGAACTCTGCAGTCCTCTTCCACCTCTGCCAAATGAAGAAGGACACTGATTGGGACGCTTCTAATGGCAATTTCATTTTGCCAATATTGACCTTAAAAGCTAGTTAATGTTGTTGGGCTTGCCATGGGATTCCAGAAACAAACCATTGTGAATCAATTAAATTTCCAATTTCCAAAAGCAGCTAGCGACAACAGATTAAAGAGATTTATAACCCCCTTTCAGCAGCTTAATATCTATACAAAGGAATTCATTCATTCATTTTTTTCTCAACATATATGGAACCCTTCCACATAGGCAGCACTGTCCTAGCTGGAGACGTGAGGGTGAAGTAGATAAAGTCACTGATTCAGAGGAACTTTATTCTACTGGGGAACACAGACTGGCAGCTAATTTTTTTTTTTTTTTTGAGACAGAGTCTCACTGTCACCCATGCTGGAGTGCAGTGGCATGATCTCAGCTTACTGCAACCTCCGCCTCCCGGGTTCAAGTGATTCTCCTGCCTCAGCCTCCTGGGTAGCTGGGATTACAGGCACACACCACTATGCCCCGCTAATTTTTTTGTGTTTTTAATAGAGATGGGGTTTCACCATGTTGGCCAGGATGGTCTTGAACTCCTGACCCAAAGTGCTGGGATGACAAGCATCAGCCACCATACCTGGCCTCATGGCAGCTAAAGTTATAAGGTTATATTAGCTGCTGTACTGAAAAAAATAAAGTGGAATATGTGGGTAAAATGAGTGATTGTCAAGAGTATGACTATTTTAGATATGGCAGTCAGTAAAATCTGACATTCGAATTAAGACCTCTGCTCACCAGGAGGCAATCTAAAAAAGTATTCCAAACAAAATAACCTAGAGAACAAAGACCTGGGATGGCAAGCAAGCTTCAAGTGCTCAAGAAATGTCCATGTGACTGGCCTGGGTTTCAGTCTGAAAACTGAGTGCTAAATACTGAAGATAGTTGCAGAAAAACTAAAAGCAAGAGAAAGCATTATGTGTTTAAAGATATGCAATAAATAGGTAGAAACAGATAGAAAACAGTATGGTTTAGGGAGCATAATTTTGGGATAACATATCTTTTATTATCTTTCCTAACTAGGGAGGGGGTGGAAGACAATATTGCCACCAAAGGCAAAGCTTTTACCCTCTAAACCCGTCAAACAATTCAGCAGTGGATAATTACATTTATTTGAGTTAAAAAATAAATTGAGATCTTAAGGAGACTTAATTAGTTCATTCTGAATCGTAGTTAGAGTGAGAAGAGAAAGAGTTAAACGTGAAACTTCTATTTCATCCACTAAGTAGTCAGCAGAGGGTACCACAGAACCTACAGACTCTGAACACCAACAAATAAATAATTTAAAACCAGAAGAAACAAACTGAGAATTTAATCTGGAGTTATTGAGGACTTATTATGTGCTAGGCATTATTCAGAGAACCAGGAATAGAACAGTAACCTTGGCAAAAATTGCCCCTTTCTGGATGGTGCTTATATTTTTAGGTGGTTAAGCTCACAAATAAACACACAAAATACGAGATGAATGCTGGTCAACAGTGGTATGGAGAAAAATAAAGGAGGTGTGGGGTTCAGAGAATACCAAGGGTGGAGGTGGTGCGATGTTGTTTTAGATTGGATAGTTAGGAAATCCTCTCCAAAAAGAAAGGCTGGGAAGCCACTGGAGGGTGTTGAGTGGAGAGTGAATTTTAGAATACCACCCCAGCTGCTGTGCGAAGGATAGGCTGAAGGGGTCAGTGGTAAAACAGGAAGGGCCATTGGAAGTCTCCTGCAATCATCTGAGTAAGAGCTAATG